CCAAGATGGTATCTGTCTCTTTCCACCAAAGAGACACAGGAAAGATCTCCAGAAACAGTCACAAGTTGTGACCTGCGGCGGGTGGTCGGGTGAAATGAGATGGAAGGTATAAAGGCTGAGCAGCACTTCTCTAAGGATACCCTTTTGTATGATTTTCCTTTGAGATTTGTTAATTTTTCACATTTTCAAAAGATAATATTTATTCAACGACGAGGAAAAATCTCTAAGACGGGGGCATGTCTGGGTGGCGCAGCTGGTGAAGCATCTGACTCCTGATTTTGGCTCAGGTCATGATCTCGGGGGCCCAGGACTGAGCCCCACGTTGGGCTCCACGTTCATTGGAGAGTCAGCTTGTCCCCTTCCACTCTGCCTCTTCCCCGCTCGCGTCATCTCTCTGTCTCTAAAATAAACAAATAAATATTTTTAAAAAACAACAACAAACCTCTAACACGGTTTTCTATAATCTTTAATGACTCTATGAGCTATGAGGGAAAGTCTTGTGTTAAGGGTGGCCTTGTGATGACAGGGACTCCCCGTAATCCAAATCCCAACCTGGACCCCACCTTCTCTCTTCCCAGTCAGAAGCGTCTACCCTTCTTCATCACATCTGTCCCCCAACTAATCAGATTGTCCTGTAGTAAAATACCCAACTGATGGGGCACTGGAATGGCTCAGTTGTTAAGCCTCTGCCTTTGGCTCAGGTCAGGATCCCAGGATCGCAGGAGCCTACTTCTCCCTCTACCCCTCCCCCCACCTGTGATCTCTCTCTCTCTTTCTCTCTCTCTCTCCCTCCCTCCCTCTCTCAAATAAATAAATAATAATAATTTAAAATACCCAACTGATAATGAGAGCAAGGGCGCTAAGCGACCCATGGTGTCCTCCTTGCCCCCCAGGCCAAATATCACTGTGGAATTAACTCCCAGCAGAGAGCAGAAACCCTAGATCAAAAAGCATTACTAGCATTCCTTTGCCCTTACAGCCCTCTGCTGGTATAAATGAAATGTGGAGACTGAACATGTTGATGTCTTTTCCTCTCTATTCTGGTTTGTTGGGAGAGGAACTTGATAAACTATCATCCCAAGAAGATCTCTGATCCAAACTTTTCTTTGCATATCTGGCATTCTTGTCCACTCTGCCGTGTTTGGAAACGTTGGTAAGGAAAAGGTAAGACTGTTGCTTTGCCTTCCATAGCACCACTTCCTGTGTTCTCCTGCTGGCGATGAACACCTCTTTATTTCTCTGCCTCCTCCTCACCTTCTCTCCCACTCCCTCCAAAGCTCTAGCCTAAATCCTCTCCTTTCTATAGGTGCTTCCCCTTAACACTCGTCAGTTCTCTGTGTGTCCCCGCAAATGCCTTATCTCTTCCAATGCTCCAGATCCAAGTTTGAAACAATTTACCAGGAACTCCACGTGATGCCCTCAGGCACTGAAACCTCCGGCCTAATCTGACTTTTTCATCTGTCTTTTGTTGAGACAGATGGTCCAAAACCTGGAAATAAGGCAAAAGGATTATTGACTGCTCTTATCCATGTCCTACTAGAATAGTGTCCTCAAAGTATGGTCTTAGCCCAGCAGCATCAGGCATCACCTGGGAACTTGTTAGAAATGTAAAGTTTGAGGTTCTACTCTGGATCTACTGAGGCAAAAACTGTGGAGCTGGGGCCCAGAAGTCTGGGGTTTAACAAGCCCTCCAGTGATTATGATGATCACTCAAGTTCAAGAAATAATGAACAGGAACAGGGCTGGCAAACTATGAGCCAAATCCAGCCCAATGCCTGTTTTCATGAAGTTTTATTGGAATACGACAGCATTATGGCATTTAGTTTTACTCTACAACAGCAAGATTGAGGTGAGTGGCTGCGACAGAGACTTTTATGTCTGTGACAGAGACTTAAATGTCCTTCATAATCCGAAAGTCTTACTATCTGGCCCTTTACAGAAAAAGTTTGCCAACCCCTGGACTAGCAGCAAATCATCTACCAAACCCTCTCATTGTTGGTTGAAAGATAATTTGATGTGACTTACTATTTATTACTCAGTTGGGCCAGAGTCTGTGAAGTTAGGTGTTAATTACAGAAGATTGATAAACTACAAATGATTTTTGTCTGATAGAGGTGAAATGATTTCTCTCTGCTAGAGTTAATCACAAAAGCAACAATTTTATTGTCCATGTAGAGGTTAGTCAATTTTGAGTCTAACCTAGCAACCATATTCCAGCATTTTTTCCCTTTCACTATATATTTTTAAACACTATACATACATCCATATAATATATGTACACAGATATACACACATACCACCATCTCTTGTATCCTCCTCTGGACCAGTTTTACTTTCTCCTGATTGCTTTACTAATAAATTAAATCTCTGAAACATGCTCACTATATACTTATACGAGAGTCATCTTTTTAATTCTTTGAAATTTATACTTTGACACTGACAAGGGTTAATGCCTCCTTCCTCCTCAAACAAACCAGTCTCCAAGTCTCACTGATTTTACCTCCTACATATTGTCTTCTGTGACTCCTCTCTGTCCTTCCTTCCTTCCATCTCTGTGCCTGTGTATACTTTCTTTGGCTTCTTTCCTATTGCCTCTCTGCCTACAGTAAGTATCCTGTCTTGTTTTCTTCATGTCTCCAAGGGTAAGTATCCTCTAAGTATCCTCTAACCCCCAGTTTGAAATTCTACCAGGCTGATCCTTTAGCTGCAAGTGATTTCTCTTTGCTCTTTCCCAGCACATTTAATTTGTATCTCTTTTGTAGCACATATCACTTTCTATTTCATGACATGGTCTTTTATGGAGGTTTCTGCGGCCTCATTGTAGGACTTCATCTATGATTCGACTTTGTATCCATATTATTGCCTAACTGTGCTAATATAGATAAGAAAGCTAATAAAAGTTTTCAAGTAGGGACGGTTGAAAAATCAAAATCTCAACGGAAAAAAAGTAGCACCAAATTATTTTTTGAATGTCTTAAATCTCATCAAAGTGTATTTTCCCAGACTATCTCTTTTTATGAATGTTTCCTCTGCCTCATTTAAAAAATATTAACTATATAATATTGAAGGAGAAAAAAGAATATTCTTCAAAATTTAAATGAGCCTTTCTTTTATTCTCTTTGGTAGATCTTTTCTCCATAAATAAGATTTCTCATTTTGCTGTGGCAAATCTCAGCATTTAACTGTTCAGTGTTGTTTATTCATGACCAAACATGACAGTTTTCCTACTGGATGCACCCATCAAATGGGGTCCCTAATTCAAGTGTCTGTTCATGAAGCCCTAAACTCTTTATTTGATTTTTTTTATCAAGAAAACTTAAGCGATGCACAGTTGTTATTGTTGTTGTTTTAACTGGGAGGGGTATTAGTGCCTTAATCTAACTGATTTGGGCACCCCTAAATCAATCAGGACAAAAGAAGTTATGGTACATCTGCTGTCCTCTGCGTAATGGCTTTCGGTCTTATCACATCATAAAATAGTGTTCCTTCATATGCTTAGATTTCTCACCTCTGGAGAGCTTGCTACAAAAGTATATTCCCAAGACCCACCCAAATTCAGAAACTTTGGGGGCAGATCTCCAAGAATCTTTGTTTTTAGTTAACTTCCCAGCTAAAAATCCCAGTTTGGGATTCTTATGCATCCCAAAGTTTGTGAATCATGAGCTAAATTCTTATCCTCTTCTAAATTCAAGAAGTAGAGACCCCCTAGAGCATTGTCCAAGTGCACCTTAAATAAACTGAGAGGGCTGGGAGAACCTGTCCACCTTCTCTCCTCGATCAAAATTTTTAAATATAACTTCCCCTCAATAATTTATCTTGAAAATGTTCAAACACAGAAGAGCTGAATTAAGAAACGACCCCAGTAGTCACCCATATACTACCCCGTTAACATGTTAATGTGGTTACTTTGTTACAGGCTTATTCTTTTATCCTGCTCTCTGCTCTTCCACCTGTCTGATTTTTTTTTCTTTTTTTTGGATGAATTTCAAAGTAAATTTCAGACTTCGGTAATGTCTGATTTGGGATGATGGCAACTTGAAGAATAACAGGGTTGTGAGTCCTTGTAGCCCTGGCAAAAACACGGTGGTCTCGTTTCATTGAACACGATGGGTGGCTGCTTGGCAGGACATTTATAAGGCATTTAATCAAAGACAGAGGTTTGATTTGGGCTGGCTGTATAGACAGCCCCCACAGAGTAGTATCTACTTGTCTCTATTCCTGTGAATGGGGGCTTTTGTTCTGTTACCAGAGGAAGAAAGGGAGATTTGGGACCAGGGAGGAGACTAGATTAAATTTGGAAGTAGGTGGCCACAGTGGCCCCTCCCCTCTTGCATGGATTTTGAGGCTCTGACGGCGAGATGGTTTAGAGGCTGAGGTTTGCTGAGTTCATGTTAGCAACAAGGTTGAGTCAGACTATGTAGGTCTGCATTCCAGCTACCCCTAACCGCCTGCCCTTGGATATATTCCCCCTCTTGGCCTCAGTTTGTTCATCTGTAAAATGAAAGTAATGATAGTACCTACATTACACTGTTGAGGAGAGAATATGTGTGCTTGACATGGAACCCAATCACCTTCAGTTGCTAAAATATAAAAATATGAATTTCCTTAAGTTGAGACAAAATTAACATATATGACAGCGGAAGTTGGTGCACAAGTAAGAGACAAACTAAATGGTTTTGACAAGCCTGAAAGGAATTCAGAGAGATGCAGGAGGGAGCAATCCTGAAAGTCCTTTCAGACAACGCCCTGCACTCAAAATGAAACCAAATTTCTTTCCTCGCTCTACAAGGCCCCTACATGATGTGGCCTCTGCCTACAACTCCAGCTTCCTCTTCTCTCCTTCCTAACTCGGTCCTTAGGATATGCTGTTCTCTTTGCGCGAAGGTTTCCCCACCGAGAACTTCAGTACATTCGACGAGTGACTAAGGCGCAGACGCAGACGCAGGGGATGGGGTGGGGCTAGAGAGGAGGCGGGGCGGGGCGGGGCGGAAGCGTGGGCGGAGACCCAGGAAGTGACGGCCCTGCTGGTGGTCCTTCTGGAGTCGGTCAAGTCCGCGGCGCTACCTCTGCGGCCACCGCGTTCCCGGGCGATGGAGAATGGAGCGGTGTACGGCCCTACCACGGAGGAGGACCCGGGCCCGGCCAGGGGCGCCCGGAGCGGCCTCGCCGCCTACTTCTCCCTGGGCCGGCTTCCGTTGCGTCGGCTCGCGCTCAAAGCCTTGCAGCTGGTAAGTCCGCGGCCGGGGTGGGCGAGTCGGACTTGGGGGTAAGGGGTCTGGCCCGGGAACCGCCGGCCTGCGGGCGTGGGAGGCTGCAGAGCTGCTGCTTCTCGACCTGCTTGTTCAGGAAGCGGCGGTTTCCACACCCCCAGTTCCTTCTCTCTCGGCTGGAAAGGGGGGCGTTACCTCCCGCCGTGGGGCAGCCTCTACACCCCAGTCTCATCCCCACTGGGTCCCCGGTGACGACCTGGGCCCCCGAGCGTGTTGCGCGGGTCCAGGAAATGCGTCGGAAAGCCTAGTCAACCGCTTAGACTTCTTTCACTCCATCCTCTGTTACGACCTCCGTCTCCTCTCCCAGCTGTTAGGCTGCATTATCGACCAAAGTGCCTGTATTTAGACTTCCAAGTGCCTTTTGTTTATCTTTCCTGGTTCTTGTGGTTTTCCTGGTACGAGCCCGTGGGGGGGGGGGCAGTTTAATTTGTTGGGCGAAGTCTTCCGTTGCCACGCACGGCATTGAGATGGGTGTTTCCAGTGAATTGTTTCCTCAGTGTTTTATATTGACTAGAAAAAGAATTACTTCTGAATGAGCAATAATGTGTATACGAAGTACACGGTGAAAAGGACAGTTTGTATTTGCGTGCAGGTGGCGAAAGGAGGGCATGGTTTACCCCTCTCTGAATTTCATTGAGTTTTAGTTCACTTTAGGCAGTAAAGGTACCTTAAACCTCATAGTGAAAATATCAAACATCTTTGGATTTTAACTCCAGTTACACACATACTGACACACTATGTTCTGTTTTAAGCAACGATGAATATTTTCTGCCAGAGGAAAAGTCAGACTGCCTAGAATGTTCCTAAGTTGATTTTGCTTGGTGTTTTTTGGTTTTTGTTTTTTTGGGGTTTTGTTTTGTTTTGCCTTTAGTCATCTCAAGTAAAAACAGCCAGTTGGTTTCCTTGGGAAGAGCTTAAATTCTTAGAACTCCAATAACCAGAACTTACATTCTTAGAACTCAGATGACCTACTTTTATTAAATTAAAAAAAAAAAAAAGCTCTCAGAAAACAGGCACTACTTTCTGGTTGTCAAATGATCACATCTGGGAATAGTTTGGAAATCACTTGGAAGCAGGTGAAAGTGTGGCGGAGGGAACTGAGAGCGTCTGGCTTTCTCTCCAGCCTGTTTTTAGGGAGTTCTCTCTGGTAGCCTTTCAGTTATTAACAGGCATCCAGGGCTCCCTTCTGCCGTTGTTCCTTTGTATCATGTGCTCCTTATACCCAGAGATACTTCTTTCTGTTCTTTTGTCAGTTCTAACAGGACTTTTATTTTTTTATTTAAAATTTTATTTATTTATTTGAGAGTTGGAGAGAGAACACAAGTGGGCAGAGCAGCAAGCAGAGGGAGAGGGAGGAGTAGGCTTCCCTCCAAGCAGGAAGCCCAATGCGGGGCTGGAGCCCGATTTGGGGCTTGATCCCAGGACCCTGGGATCATGACCTGAGCGGGAGGTGGCCGCTTAACCAACTGAGCCATCCAGGTGCGCCTTCACAGGACTTTTAGATATCAGTGATGTTCCTCTGTAGTGGAGCTGAAATGTATCTAAACCAATAGAAGAACTTTTTAGAACAGAAAAGGTTAGTATCTATATCTGAAGGATTCTTGCTGCCCTATAGACATTATCAGTATTGGTGTCCTGCCTGTTAAATCTCATTTTCAGTTGTCTGTTTTTCCTTTCTAATTAGAAATGGCACAGCTGAAGTAAAATTTCTCATTACCTTATTTACAGTTTAATAGACTGTAGTTCCATATCCCTGGACTAGACCTACAACCAGAAATTTTGGTGATAGACTTTTTACTCGAATGGGAGAAAAGGAGAAGATGAATTTGCCTTGCAAGGGTTGGTTGTTCCTGCTTGTTCTCCATCATAAGGAGAAGGAGAGAAAGAATAAAAACTAATGTCTCTTCTTGAAATCCATTTACAGGCTTATCTCGGAGTCCCTGCATGTTGGGTTCCAGACCACCACAGTAAAGCGAGTATCACAGTAAAGCCAGTCTAGTGAATGTTTTGGTTTTCCAGTGCATATAAAAGTTATGTTTGCACTATACTATGGTTTGTTAACTGTTCAAAAATGGCATTATGTCTAAAAAATATATATACATGCCTTAATTTAAAATATATTTTTAAATTTTTTAAAAAAGGTTTTATTTATTTATTTGAGAGAGAGAACACAAACAGGGGAAGGAGAGGAGGGAGAGGGACAAGCAGACTCTGCACTGAGCTCAGAGCCCAGCAAGGGGCTTAATCCCAGGACCCCAAGATTATGACCTGAGTTGAAATCAAAAGTCAGATGGTCAACAAACCAAGCCACCCAGGCTCTCCTTAATTTAGAATATTTTATCACATACACAAAAAAATTTCCAACCATTTTCTGAGCTTTCAGTGAATTGTAATCACTGATCACATCACCATAGCAAATAAAATAATGCAGATGTTTGAAATATTGCAAGAATTACTGAAATGTGACACAGAGACATGAAGTGAGCAAATGCTGTTGGAAAAATGGTATCAGTAGACTTGCTTGTCTCAGTGTTGCCACAGACCTTCGATTTGAAGAATGTAATCACCTGTGAAATGCAGTAAAGCGAAGTACAGTTAAATAGGTATGCATTTATTTACTTATGGGGGTTTGTAATGTTATAAGAATACTTTCTTGGGGCGCCTGGGTGGCTCAGTGGGTTAAAGCCTCTCCCTTCGGCTCAGGTCATGATCTCAGGGTCCTGGGATTGAGCCCCACATCAGGCTTTCTGCTCAGCTGGGAGCCTGCTTCCCCCTCTCTCTCTGCCTGCTGCTCTGCCTACTTGAGATCTCTGTCTGTCAAATAAATAAATAAATCTTTTAAAAAAAAAAGAATACTTTCTTTAATATAGATTTTTAAAAATATTTCATTATTGCTTTTGATTTTGATTGTTGTCTTTTCGTTTCTGCTTTGAGTGGTGGCCTCTATCTCTTTACAAGAGCGTATATTATGGAGTTACCCAGGAAGTCCCAAGGAAGTTATAATGAAATAAATTAAAGCTGTCGTCCAGCCTGGGGCAATAGGCACAGTCTTCTTTGCCTTAAGTCACATTCTGCCTTTAGATTGTTTTACTTTAGATAACTTGTTTTTTTTTTTTTAATTAAGTAGATTTGCAGAGCTCCAGTAAGGAAACACCTGTAATGAAGAAACCCATAGTCAGAAGAGGAGGTACTTAAACTAGGGATGTGCAAGCCTTGTGACATTTTACCCAAAATGTGGTGCATTTCCATGTCTGGGTATGTTATTCTAGACCCATAAATCTTATTAGAGCCTCAGAACTCCAAAAGGGAAAGGAACCTTACTCTAAAACTTGAAAATCAGACTCTCTGGGCTTAGGAAATTCTTAGAGTCCAAAGAGATGGAATTGGATTTCCGAGGCTCTTTTCACCATTTAAGGTTTTTACAAATCTCTGAGGCTCTGTGGGGTGTGCTGGTACAGAGCTGAACACCAAGCAGGTCAAGAGTGGAGCCTACAAACAGGAGAGGTTAGAGATAAGGAGCATAACTAGCTCTTGAGTTCGTACTCTTGGAATTCTATAGCTGTGTCTGCTACCATTCAGAAAAAACCTTAATTTCGTCAAACGCTTGTCCAAAACTTAAGCATCCCGTAACTACCATCTGCCCTTCCGGAGCTGAAGAAGATAAACTCAGCTGGAAATGCAATGCCAGGAGTCCTTGCAGTCCTCAGTTTATGTAGTTTCTTTATTTTTCAGTTTATTTTGTCCTTAGATTGGTCATTATGCACACATACACACACATATTGTCAAGTTTTTATTGTTATTTTTGAGGGAGTTTTTATTTTCAGGGGAAAATTGACATTGGGCAACCTAGTTCCTTGCTAGTAAGCTGGTGGAATGATTTGAATATGTGTAATATTCCCTCTGCAACAAGCTGACATTGTGTTTACGGTACCAGTTGAATGTCCTGATGGCTGCAACGTACTGTGGTTATAATGACTGTTCAGACGGGCAATCACTAGTGATTTAAATTTACCGAATTGTAAAATAATGTTACCGTGTAAGTGCCAAGAAACAAGTCACTGAGAAGTAATTTCTCTTATATTTGTGCTCTCTTCATTATTTCAGTGTGAAAATTGATCTGTACTAAATGGTAGTGCTCTATTTTTAACTTTGAGGACGATCCATAAGGTCAGCAAATTATATCTTTGAACCTTTGTGAGAGTAAATATTTGCCCAAGGCAAGAGAGGCCTAACCTAACTTCAGGCTGACAGATTTGTTTACTTGGACTTTACATAGGACTGCAGGTTTTGGTCGTAAGTTCATTAATTCACAAATTAATATAATTTTATAGTGAGGCCTTATAATGAATGGCAAACATTTGAAAGTTCTTTTTGTAAGAAATGTTTTAATAGTAAACTCTTAAAGATCAATGATGGAGACTTCATGTTTACTATAACGACTGCTAATTTTAAGGAAGACTGACGTTTCAGAAGGGGTAGTGAAACTGAAATGAAGAGAGACACAGGGTAGTCGCTATCTGAATGTTTAAATCACCAGAACTGTGAGTAAGCCGCGTTTTAGTCACGAAGATTTCCCAAATGTGTTGACCCTAGCACATTGGTTTTAATGTAAAATTTAACAGCAAAAGGGGAAATGCACATTAATCTGATTGTAACTTCCAAAATCCAGTTTTTAGGGAAAACCCAGACAAACATACCTAGTTGTAAAGTGAGCGTAATAAATAGCGTTTCAGTGGGGCGGGGGATGGGGTGGGGGGACCAGCACAGATGGGAGTCAGGAGACCTGGGTTTTGGGTTGTGCCTGGCCCCCATGGAACCTCGATGTCAGAGATTCACTCCATCACCTGTAGACAAAAGGGTGGGAGACTGCCCTCCAAGGACCTCCCAGCTCCAAAGGCTTGACAGTTCCCATAGTTCTGTTTGGGTAAGATTTTATGTCATTAGAAGCAGTCACATTG